TATATATACATATATATATATATGAAAAAAAGTAAGAAGCAGTGTGCATGTTTTGCATGAGTAAATGAAATAATCTTAGCCTCAATTTCAAAAATTCCATAACCCAAGGCTTATATACTCATTGTGTGTGACTAAGTCACCTCTTCGCTTGTCTCTGACCCACTGGCCATTTTAAGCTCTATCAGAGACATCAGCTTCTCCGCATAAAAGCGTTTCTCCCTAGTTTTGGGAGTGGCTGCATGAGGTGAAAGGCACTAAAGTTACTGTATATTTGCTCAATCATTTGACAATTTTCTTGCGGGGGGGGGGGGATAGCAACATAAAYCACAAATCTCCAAGAAGATTCGTTACTTTTACTCCCAAATTCTTTCACATTTCTATTACTCCAACTGGAGGGATGAGGAGACGACGGAAAAAAAGAAAAAAAGAAGAAAAAAAGGAGGAACAAGAGGTAACTCTCTGCCCCTACCTGCTAAATCAAATCAAACCCACAGCTCTACAGCAGTGTTGCCAACTACTGATTGGAGGTGCAACTAGCACATGTGCCTGTCATTAACAATACAACAGCTGATCATTGCTCACTTTTCCTGTGTCCCAGAGAAGGTCTCCACAGAGCCAGGAAAATAACTGACCAGCACTGACTAGCATTCGGCTGAACTAAGGCACCGAGAGCAGTCTTGAGGAGCACCACTGGGCAATGAAGACATCAAGAAGGGCAGCTCTTTAAAAAGAGCAAAACTAGGAGAATAATGATTAGAAGATACCTCTTGACAGCACTATTATGTGCTAAGTTTTAGAGGCAATAAAAGTTATAAACAGGAGCAGCTATCATGAGGATTTTGAGGCACGATAAAGGATTTATTTTCCTTCCCCCCCCACTTCTTCCCCTGGAATAAATGGAGATTTACTCACCAGACTTAGGAGTAATCGCCTCTCTTGAGGCAACGCCTTTGGAGAAAGGATTTGGCCCTTCAGAACAAAGAAAGAAGTACATATTTAAGTGCAATAAAATGTAATAGCATTAACTTGCTAAAAGCAAGATAAAGAACCCAAACACACAAGCAAATCATAGCAAACCAATCCACATCTTCAAGTGCGATTTTTCCTTTGCCAATTGTATACACAATTTTATAAAATTGTCTGTTATCTTTACCTGGATTTATGCTTTAAGAGTTGTATGCTAATTTACCAAATCCRATTTTTAAATGGATAAACATATATAAAAGAGTTATATATGAAAGCGAGTAGCAAGACTTAAATAAATGTCTAACAACAGGAGACATCTAACTATGAAAGATGCAAACTCTACGAAAKGTAAGTAAGGCAATGTAAGAATAAATATAGCAATATATAAACCAATATTTTTGTTTTATACATAAAGTTACCTACCTTTACTTTTTTCATTTGGAGATTAAAAGCAGCCTCCATCACAAGCCCARTTTGTCAAGAATAACAACTGAACTCATTTTGCTTTTCTCTGCCCAACCACCACTTAAAGTACAAACATGAATATTTCTCAGTCCATATAAACAAACATAAAGATAGGAAGCAAACGATTTTAGGAGCAGGCAAGGAATGCTTAAGCATCCTCATGGAAATGCGGATGCGAAAAAGCACGTGAACAAGTCAGGTCACAAACTACCAGACATGTTCTATCTAAGCAGCAAAAATACTAGTCTCTGAAGCCAGACTCAAAACTCCATGAAGCAAACTGAATCATTTTCTATCTGCAGGAATGGCTTCTAAAACAAACTCCCCGTGCTTAATTTATAGGCCCCTGATGAGTGGTGTGCCTTAGTTTTACTTAATTTTTATGTTTCTTCATTTTTTTGTAAAACTAAACTAAAAAAAAAAAAAATACAACCTTGTTTGCATAGACTGCAAAGTTACCCAAATTACTGGCAAATCTCAAGCATTTAAGTCTGTGAAAGACAGATCTAGATAATCTGCAGCCTATGGAAAGAACATATATATTTTTTCTTCTTACTCTCTTTATGTGCCTCTGGTGTTTCTTCTGCTTCCTCATGTGCATCAGCTTCCTCATCCTCYTCCATTTCTTGGTCCTGCCGAACATTTCTGCCAGGCAGGCGACTCCACTCTGTGGCAGAAGTGCTGTAACTAAACGGAAGGAATTTATCAGGAGGCAGCCATGCTTTGAACTTCAGCCCATTCAAAGGGAAACGGGATGCTTCCTTAACTGGAACAACAGAAGTCTAGCTTACTTTTCTCATCTAGGAATACTAACATTTGAAGACTAAGAATAGTACTAAGAACAAGACTAAGAACAGTAACATTTGGCATTTATTGGCATTACATTGCTGATGGAATAGCGATGACTACCGAAAGAGATTAGATTCATTAAGCACTTAGTTCATCCTAAAACTGCACACCAAGTGCAGCCATGAAGTGATACTCGTATAATTTTAAGGAAGACCACACATGGCTGTGAAATTCCTTTAAATTTATACCCACCTACAAGTACAGTCATTGGCTTTAAACATTTCTGCACACCAGTGCAAAGGCTCCAACAGAAATAGCATGTTTTTGTTAGTCCTTTCAGTGTGAACAGCATTGCCATCACAGTCAGAAGACTTCATTGAGGAGATATACGCAAGCATCTTCAATAAATTTCTATTTAAACACTCCTATTTCCAACACTATGAATAAAACCAAGTTATATCTGTACATGCAATTAAATGCACAAGTGGTAATTCAKATRCATATTTTCAGGTTGAAGTTTAGGMGACAAGTTTAAGTGTCATCACTATTTTCCTTATTTCCCAATAACAGTACATACATTTCTTGTTTTTTTTCCTCCTAATCTTTGATTATTACTCAAGTACATATATGCAAACAAAGGCTTCATTTCTTTCTACCAGAATGTCAGTATTAGACTAATCTGGCTATAAGAACAGCACAGTGCTTGTGATGCACTTGGAGAGTAGCTTGTCACAGGTGTGGGATTACAGTGTCCAGTTACGAGCCAAATAACAGGGTAGACCATTTAGAAAGGAGTTTTAATGGGTCATTTCACAAAGAATAAAGCAACAGAGGCAGATAAGCCCCTGAACTTATTACTTCCTCTTTTTTAAGTAGATTTCAAACCTTGTACACAAAATTGCTACAGGAAAACAACATCTCTGATATAACATTATGACACTTTTTTCCTCACAGATCATCAGACCAGTTGTTTGCAACTATTCTCTTTACAGGAGTGATATCCAGAGGCCAAGCAAGAGCACAGCTCCTCTGTGAAAACCAGCTAACCACCTTYGGCCTCCTCTTGCTTTATGGTCAAAACAGACCAAGCAGATGTAGGGAGGAGAAGACAGTTAGATGGCAGAGATACGGGATTAAGGATCACAGAAACATAGAATCCTTAAGGTTGGAAGGAATATTTGGAGATSATCTAGTCCAACCCCCTGCACACGCAGAGTCACCCAGAGCACGGGGAACAGGCTGCATCCAGGTGGGATGGGAAGATCTCCAGAGAAGGAGACTCCCCAGCCTCTCTGGGCAGCCTGTTCCAGTGCTCTGTCATCCTCACTGCCAAGAATTTTTTCCTTAAGTTCCCGTGAGTGGAACGTTTGGTSCTTCAGTTTGTGGCTGTTTCATCTATTCCTATCAGCGGTCACCACTGAAAAGAGGCATCCCCMTCCTCCTCACTGCCTCCCTTGAGGTATCTATAGACACTGAGCAGGTCCCCCCTCAGCCTTCTTCTCCTCTTCTCCAGGCTGAACRGGCCCASCTCTCTCAACCTTTCCTCACAGGGCAGATGTTCCAGGTCCCAATCATCCTCGTAGCCCTGCGCTGGACTCTCTCCAGCAGCTCCACATCCCTCTGGACACAGTCTCCAGATGTGGCCTCACCAGGGCTGCGTAGAGGGGGACGATCCCTTCTCTCCACCCACTGGAGACTTTCTTCTTGACTCACCCCAGGATCCCAGCGACCTTCTTGGCCACGAGGGCACACTGCTGCCTCATGGTCAACCTGTGACACTCAGGTCCTTCTCTGCAGGATGCACAGAGAACTAKTATAGTTCTGGAGTTCTAGAGAACTGGAAGACCAGGAATATGTCTAAACGAGATACACTGAGATAGGATATTAAAAGAGGGAAGGGATGGAGAACAGGTAATGGGTTTTACAATAATTATGGGATGATATGAGGTAATAAGACCAAGGGGAGAGAGAAAATAGGCTGGAATCAAGTAAGCTGGAGAAAAGCAGAGCARCTTGGTACCAAGTCCTCTCTGCCCCTGAAGCTGCTGGACACAGACCTACTGCAAGCAAGGAAGGTGGATATTCCAGTTTGTATCGGGACCTTGGTGCTAACCACTTACAGATTCTCAACAAGATATGCACAAAGGCACACTATTCTATATAGATACACACCATTTACAAACAGAGCCACACAAACTGCTCCTTTGCAACAAAATTTACTGCAAGTCWTTTTTCAGAACAGCAAAAATGCATCAACTGGAGCAAAATGTTAATGGATCTGTAAAAAAAATTCCCAAGTTTTTAACATCACAGGACCTGACCTTACCGGGCGTTCAAATGACTTCGGAAATCCTCTTCCTCCTCCTCTTCCTCCTCCACTGCTGTCGCYAATTCACTTGCTTTCTCCACGGCCACTTCGCTAAGGCGCTGGGCCAGGTTCAGTCTCCGGGAGCGAGAGGCATACTTGATAGCTAAATTCACAACGTTGTGTGTCATGAGGTCAGCAAGCTCCATACAACGAAATTCACGCTCCAGTTTACAAGAAAGCTGAAAGAAGAAAAAATAAGCTTCAGAAGTCACACACTTCACAGTTACATTTCTTAGAATAACCCGGAACAGCACAATCCGTGACTAGAAAGGGGGAAAAAATYCCCCCTTGCACAGACAACACAGCTCTAGACATCTATTTACAGAGTATTTTTGTACCCAAGAACAGACCACTTGCCCAGTTTAAATAATAAGAAGAGTCTAACAGACCTTCAAGATGGAACATGTGTTGATATCCAGTTCTTTTCAGCAATAATTAAGGCCTCCACAAGAAAGTCTAGTAGGTACAAGGCTCATCAGTCTCACAGTAATTCCCTAAGCTAGTTTAAATAATGCAGTATAGACTGAAGCGTGCTCTGGTGATCAGGGTCTTGCCTCCAGCAAGTGCCCTATGAACACAATTTGCTAATCCTGCAAACTTACACTTTCGCCCAAAGCTCACCAAGACTCCTGGAGCAGAATATTATAATCTTGATGGAGTAAATGACCAAAAGAGATTACCAACCCTGACAAAAAAGGCATCCCTTCAGTTAGGAAGCTTTCCTCTTCCCACCCTCCATACTGAGGAGCACTAACAACATGAGCTGCAGTCACCTCTCCCTGCAGTTGATGTACTAGCTGCTAATAAGAGAAATCACATTAGACCTTGAATCAAATGCCACCTCCACAAAATAAAGTCTAGGGGACTCTTCTCATTATTATTMATTTGTACTTACGGCAAAGAGTTTCATTAGGAGTTCTTGTTGTTCTTTTGCTGACTGATTTTTAGCCATTTCATTGAATTCATAGCCATTTTTTGATAAGTAATCCATATGGTTTTGAAATACAACAGAACGCCAGTATTGTTCCTGAACAAGGGAGATAACCATGCCGGAGGTCAGAGGGGGGGAAAAAAAAGAATCCACAGCTCAATGACTAACAAATTACCAAGAATTTTTTAAACTATTTATTCTTTTTGTTTTTTAACAAGACTGAGCAGGAAGCAATTGTCCTTAAAGCCAGTGCCTACTGAAGAAAAATGCATCACATTAACAACATCCATACACAAACTGGGCCAAACAGTCTCTGTGTGTGTCAAATTCCCTTTATTCCATATCCTGTGTTTTCAGCAGGACTTCAGATTTATATGCTCACCATTTTACTACCAGCACAACAGACAATTCTACAATAACTTGATTATTTGATCTTATTACTGCTGTCCCAGAGCAAACTGCATCTATTCTAGCATGTTTTGGTATCTGTGAGCAGTAGTGACCATCACTTACGAGACAGAAACAGAAAATATAAATATAACTGAGATGGTTTAGGGAAATACTAGTGTGGCATTAGCCCAGGCTAGGTCTGCACAAAATAAACATCAACTTACTCAAAACCAGTATGTTCTCATTAGATCTATTAGACACCATCTGTTTCTTTATGAGCAGGGTCTGCACAAAAGTACATATCAAGCTAAATAAACATTTCCTCAGGTTTCCCTTCTATTACTTAGCAAGGACAAAGCGAAAAAAAAGATATASCCTGAAACAAACAGAGCTCACTTGAACGGAATGAAACCAAATTAAAACAAACAAACAAAACACCCTCACATACTTATTTTCTCTATATTTATCTCTATCTTTCCCTGCATTTATATCTAGGAGAAAGAATTTCAAGTGGCATTAAACTGTCTCCAAGGTTAAGACCGAATCCCACAAGATACTTAAAGCAGTAAAAATATATACAGATATTTTCCTAGATTTACTCTACATATACATAATACTTCAGCCAGCCTCTGCCTTAAGAGGATAAGTGAAGCTGAAGGCCTTCATTTTCAGAATGATTGTGTGCATTGGAGAATAAGGATTTCAAGAACATCTTCCAGAAATTATTATTCCTAAAATACGAGTCTCAAGTGGGATTCTAAATTTTGGTGCATCCAACAAGATCAATTGCTACTTTAAAGAGACTTCACTGGTCCAAAGGCCAGTAAATTAATTCCATTAATTACATTCACTGTTACTTCAGTCCATATCGCCATCTTTATTTTGCGTTCTTCTTGAAAGAACTGTGAACCAAACCAAAGAAATATATACAAACCRCTGAACCCAAATAACCTCGTTAGCCAGGTGTCTTAATCAGTTTATATTGTTCCCTTCATAACAGAGATCAAATCCCTACAGGAACCTTRTATAATCTGTACTATAGGGTATCTAAGACCACCAACTGTAGACTCAGYAGCATTCCATACCTCCATCTGCCCTTTTTCTGTTGCAACTTGACAGTAAGGAAGTTTAAAAGACAATATKGCTACAGCAGGACGTGGGAGCGTAGGTGGGAAGCGAGCTCCTTTGCAAGGAATACACCTGCACAAGGGCAACAAAAACAACACACAGTCCTCATCAGCTCAGAGTCACCAGTTGTTCCACATCTAAATCACAGCTCCTAAGAGGCAACATACTTTAAGAGGATTTGTTCTTTAAAAAGTAGTAATCAAAATAGTGATTTAAATAGAGCAATGTGTAAGATTACATTGTAGAGGGTTATTTTTACAGTGCAACCAATAGGAGATTTTAAAAACAGCAAAGCACACGCTGAACTTGTTCACACCAAAATCTGTAAATATGACACGACAGGCACAGAATCCTAACTCACATAATATCCGACTTCAACCTAATTACAATGTGGTAATGCAATTTATTAAAATCCCAAACTTCTGAAAAACAAAAGCCTCGGGAAAAAGAAAAAACAGACACATCTTTACTCTGAGGGGGTTTTTGGACTTTGTAAGAACAGTGCTGAGCTTCAGCACGCTAGGAAAGACAAAAGGTGTCATAAATAAGCATATACTAAAATAGCAGCTTTACTGCTCCGTTACATTCAAACCAGTAGAGCCTGGTAGCACTTGAGCAAAACATCAATGGAGGAAGAACAGTCTTCCCAGCAGCAGCACTGCTGCATTGACAAAAACGTCTGCTTAGAGCTTTAAGCTGGAGTTTAAGCACTAAATAAAAAGAACAGGAAGCATTAGTGTTCTGGCTATCTGTGTTGATTAGAGCATATGGTATTTCTACAAAAGCCCTTCCCTTTTCTTATCTTTAATATGCTAGTGGCTTTGAATAAGATGTTCTTTGCAATTCAGAGAGCAGCAGCCTTCCTTGGAGAAGTAAAAAACACTCGTGATGACTGACTCGCAGCTGATCAGCCCACCAGGCTGATGTGTCCTGCACATTTTTAATCAATTGCCTCGAGGCCAACGTTACTTAATAATCTGGAGGAAGAAACAGACAGCGAATTGACATTTACCAGTGATAGACATTATTCCTCCTACTACAAAAAACACTGAGGATTATGAAGAGCATCACACGCAYTTAAATAAAATGCAGTCTGTCTCTCACCAATCTCTATAAATGTGCATAAGTAGCAAAATAAAAGATGTATTTCAATAAAATGTGTAACCTGCTAGGAAAAGATTGAATAAAGAGAACTACAAGTCATGTTTAGGAAGTAAAGGTCTAAGATGTTTTTTTTCCATAACATCACTATAGTATACATTAAAGGGCTCCCTCTCAGCTAAATATTTATTTGAACATATATTTGGTCCTCACGGCCATTTTAAATACTGATACAATAACAACTAGTTCTGACTCATGCATGCCCAATAATATCACTTATAGGAGCAGATTCTTCTTAAAAGGGCAGAAAGGGAAAACATAGCGAAGAAATAAAATTTAAAAAGTAAATACATTAATAGCAAAAGTAGAATCCTAACAGCAACAATAAGCTTTGCTAGCTTTCTGTAGCAAAGTTCACCTTTACAAAATGTGTCTGCAGCAGAGATGGGTGATCTTAGAGTGTGCAGGTCAGCCAGCCAAGGCAAAAACCTAATCTCAATAAGTTACACACACTATAAAACTACAGTGAGTTCACTTGAAACCAATTCACTTAAGAGAAGCAAATGCAGAATTACAGTTATGGACTAAATCATTTATTGTGCATAGAACTAAAACAAGCAGTTGTTTTAGTAACAGTTTTCAGTCTCTATTTCTGCAGTGTTCCATAAATTAAACATAAGACAAAGCATTTCCTCCATGAAATGTCTGACCTGAGCTGCTGGGGATTTTCGTGGATGCCAACTACCCAGTAATGATCAGACTTCCCTTTGCAATGCTCTCTCATGTTGCACACTGGAATCCAGGTATTCCCAAATCCTCGGTTCAACATCCGCACGATCCCCTCTGAATCCACGTAACAGGGGGTACCTGTGGGTTAAAAATGAAAACAACTATTCTGACGGGCAGTTCCACCCATAACTAAAGTGTGGTAAGTTTGACCTGCTTTATGCCACTAGGAAATAACACTTAGCCTTGCTCTAAGGTAATGCCCTAACACCAAACTGCACAACTCAGCTGGGGACGCTCGTTTCCTTAGAAAGCTGCGCCACCTTCTGACAGCCAACACTGCTGCTTGCCAAGGGATTCAAGTGCAAACTTTAAAGCCTGGAAGCATTTTACTTAGAACTCAGAATTCTTACCATGGGGCTTTTTTTTTTTTTTTTTAARAAWTTAGTTATTTTACAATGACTTGTTCTAGCCATCACAAAACCTCTTCGCAAGCTACTAATTACTCCTAACAGGCTTTTGCTGACATAGCTACATTGAGTATATCTATTATAGCACATTAATGCAATTTATTTCTTTGAGCTAAGCAGGCCAACCAATTGGGAAGAGTCCTGATAACATCCCAGTGTACTCTTTTCATATTGAAAAAAATATTAAATACTTTAATAAATATATTTAAGAGTGGAAAAAAACAGAATTTTCTTTAGTATTAAAAACCTTATTTTTATTTTAATCCAAGTCCCAGGATCCCCTTTACCCACCAAGAGAYGAGACTTATCCAAACTGTCCTCCAGAATCCCCCCAATATTGTCAAGATTCCTCAACATCATGCGAGCAGACATCATACCTTCTGCTGAGAATCCAATCCATGTCAAATAGGATTTCCTTGTAATAGAAAGAGGCTCTCCATGCAAAACGTGTTTTTTCTTTTTTCCTAGTTCCAGCAGCTGCACTCCAAGACATTGATCCCCATCAAACCCAGTACCTAGGAAGATGTTCAATTATTGTGTTGAGAACAAAAGATTTATCTTGTATCTCAGCCCAATATAAGTAAACTTTAAACCAAAAAACTAGTTCTAATGCATTGCTATCTATGAATAATATTATTAAACAAGGACCTATTTGTCACTTTGGATACATAAAGTACATATAATAACTACTTTCAAAATTCCTTTGTAATATGTATTTTGACATTCTGGAAACCTAAGTTTAATTTATTTCACAGTTGCAAAACTCTGCTTCTGCATAGGTTAATCTAAGCACTCAAATATGAAATACAGGTTTTGCTGTCAGATTCCAAAGACTTTCAGACTGATACAGTAAAAGCATCATCAGGAAGGGAGGAAAAGAAACAAACAAACAAAATCCTTCTGTTTATTAGGTATCAGCTTAGCTGTATTTGAAGCTACTAACAGAGGAGGATTGAAAATACAGCTGAAAACAGACAGAAAGGAGCAAGCTACCTCTGTGATAAATAACCATCAGTTGCTCTCCATGTCCTGCCAGAGATACCACGGGACCTGGTAGACTAAAGATCTCTTTCTGAACCCCTCCAACGGTGAAGACACGGACTAGCAGGGCACTAGTGGCACAAGCAGCCCAGCCAAGACCAAGACAAATTGCCTCAATGTCTTCTCCCTCTGGCATATCCACTGTCCACTCCTTGTTTGCATCCCAGGAGCTAAAATGAATGCAGTGGAGCTTGCTAAACAAGAGACAGAAGAAAAATACATGAGCACCTCTATATAAAGTACATATATGCACCAATATATTATGTTTGTAGCAGAGATCTAGAAGCTGTGACTGTCATACAACAGAACTACAGTATCCTACGGATCACCAGCAGTTCCTGCAAGGCTGTTACTCTTATTATTAAAGAGCTGATGAGCCAGCAGGGCCTGCAGCACTGTAGACCCAGAGCCTCCAAATCACGAAGCAGACACAGTTGAGAGGCCTGCGGGGAGATTTTTAGATGAAAATAGGTAAGTGTCCAGCTTAATTAACATTAATAAGAACTGAAGGTGATCAGTACCCCTGAGTATCAGTCCTCTTTACAAGTTTATCACATTAGACTATGTTTCAGGAGAAGAAAGCAAGCAAAAGTCAAAAACTCAGCTCTGCAAGCTTTATAATTGAGGATTATCTGGAACCAAACCACACATAGCTGTTGATCGTTTACCTGCATGTTCATCTTAATTAAAAAGAAGTTTTAGAATCAGATAATCAACAGATACAAAAAAAAATTTAGAAATGAAGTCTTTTTCAGCTAAACATAATGCTTTACATACAAAAATAAGTATTGATATATATTGGTATATATTGAAGAAATATCTTTCTTCAAGTCCACAAAAGCTAGCAGTAAAACATTGTTGTTCCTGTTCTTTCATAAAAGGGTCCAAGTGACCCAGCTGTTAAAAACTTCATACCAGTTTTCAGAAACTTATGTTATTCAATGTTTATTCAGGAATTGTCTGAGTATCTCCAAAAATATCTCCAGAACAACATGAAAAAGAATAGAGCCATGATGATTTTGACTTGAGTAGACTGTAAAACTACTCATGTTTACAGTTTCCTTTGAGTTAAAAATGTAATAATGCAAGGAATTCGTGTGTGTGTGTGTGTGTGTGTGTGTGTGTGTGTGTGTGTTTATAGTAAAAATAAATACTGAAGTTAAGAGTCTTCTGGAAGTAAAAATACATAAATACATTTTTCCAATATTCCTGAAGTCTAGAGTCAGGTTAATGTGAAAAATCCCCCCAAAAGCAGTCCAATAAATAAAAATAAAGATCAAAAAGCCCAAAACCTCAAAAAACACTAAAAGTAGAAATATCAGGAACATGCTAAGTGCAGTTTCATACTGTGGCTTCTACAGAAGACAACCATGCCTTACCTGGCCAGTTCCTCTGTACTCTCACAGGCTAACAGAATAGCTTCAGTGGAAAGGTCAGCCATGGTGTGATTCAGAGAATTTGGCAGGTGTGTCGCATGATGTATGGAGGTATCATGAAATTCTATATCTATAGCATTGTCTTGCTCATCGTTGTAACAGCGTATGATACCAACAGAATTCCATACCTTTAAAAAAGGAGGCAAGGATATTAAATGCCCCAAACAACCTATTATGAACAGTCGAATCAGGCAGAAATTCATTGTTTTGCACACATTGCTTAAGCATCATTGGCCTTAGAAAATGAATCAGAAGAACCTGCATCTAGAGAGAGACAACTAAAGTCTTAAAAGCACAAAAATAACCCCAAATTCTAATTAAAAAGGATTTGCAAATAGATTTTAGTTACAATTCAACAGCATGGGTATAAACTGTATAGCTTGCTTCAGTCTTAAAGCCAGGTATTTATTTCTATTTCAAAAGCAAGCTAAACAGAGCAGTACACCATTATGCAGCCTTTCTATTAATAGAAAGTTATCTTTCACCGTTTAGCTTGCCACTTTGAAGCACTAAAAATCTAAAATCTTGAGAAAGATTGGATTAAGATGCAGCAAGAGCAGAACTGTGTTAATGGAGGAATCCAAACAGATTAACCTAACTATCCAGCAGTGAGATTTACCATAAAGCGATGCATGAGATGCACAGGGGTAGAGCCAGACTGGAAGGGCTTCTGCTTGGGGGTTGGCATTGGCCCATCATAGAAAGGCCGTTGAGTAGATGATGCTGGTAAATCTGAAAAGCCAGCAGCCTGATCCTCATCTTCATCCTCCTTTTCAAGGAGATTAGAATTAGCTTTTATCAACCCAATATCTGAAAGTTAAAACAAACAACAACAAGCATTTTTATTTTCCAAGAATTAACATGGCAGAAAATAAGAGAAAAATTGTAAAATAATGAAGATTTGCTTGGAATAATACAGCCAAATATGTTTGAGTAGAGGATGCACCTGTGAGATGGTCCCAGTAAAATACTGACGCATGAAATGAATTAATTTTCTATAATTTTCTTACCTAGTGAATTATCATCATCATCAATTATTGTCCGTCTTGGGTGGCCTGAAGCAGACACAAGATCATCATCCTCATCACCACCATCTTCGTTAGCTACAGCCTTTGGGGAAGACTCTGGTTCAATCGTATCTCCATTTAAGTAGTCATCATCCTCTCCATCAAAGAGATCATCATAGTCTTTTGTTGCTGCACTGGTGACCTAAAACCAAATTAAGAATTATCAAGAACCTTCTTTTGCACATTTTGAGTTGGAGGACTGAATCAATACATAACAGCTGAAAACAACAACAACAAAAAAACCCTCACACAACAGGGAATTTCAAAACACAAAACCATGTTCAACATAATTTGATAAATTAAATAACCATGCTAATTTATGAAATATTTGATGTATGTGCTGATCACCTTAGCATTTGATTTCTTTCCATCACCAATATTTTCCAGCAACCCCAGATTTCCTTCAGTGTCTGTATAAGCGATTTGCCCGCATTTTGGGTGCCATGCCAGTCCACAAATAGTGTATTTTTTCTCATGTTTCATCCTAAAAAGAAAAKAATGTTTTGGTAAGCTTTCAGGGCAGGAATCTGCTCAAGTGTTACTGTAAAAAAATGACAACACTAGAAACAGAAATTGAAAAAAATAAAAAAGATACTATTAGAAAAGCAAAAAAGTGACTTCCTTTTCTATGAAAGCGGTAATTTAACCTTTAAAATCAAAATCATATTCATAAAATAGCTTGCTGCTACATATAGAAAATAAATCCCCCAAATTCCATAACTGTTCAGTTATAAAAAGAACATTCAGCAGTTTCTCTTGTATCAAATTGATAACTTACTCCTCCATCTTTTCCCCCTTTATTCTCACAAAACAGCCCTCCTGTGAATTAATTGTACCCAGATCTTTAATTCTTAACATAAGTTTTATAGTAATAATCATCACATGATTATAAACACAAGATATACACATAGGTAAATCACTCCTTCCCTTATTATTAATATTACTTTCTTTAATGAAAGTGGGTGCTTTTAAATAAGCAAGATAAATGAAACTTGTATCCACTTTTCAATACTTTAGAAAACCATTAGCCTTCCACTGATCTTGCTTTTTGAATCTGGGGAAAATATATTTTCAGCAATATTATCCTTTAATCAATTAGAAACGCTTATGTAAAAGTAAAGACAACTCAAAAATAACAGTCATTCCGTTTGCACACACCAAACTAGACTATGGAATTTGAACAAAAGGTCACGTTCATGTCTTTTTCTTGATCTTTTCTCTGGATCCTTCTGGCCACACAGAAAGGAGAGCAATGTGTCATGTGAATACGATCATATTTCTGTGAATGTTGGAGCTAACTTCTAGATTTACTGTCTGAAATTTACRGCGTAAAAATTCATAGGGTAATTCTTTCTAGCTTTGTAAATCTTGCAAAGACTTTTCAGGAGGCAAAGTTCTAATATATTTAAGACTTATTTAGGTAAATATAACAAAATTCTATTTTTAGGGGGGGGGAAAAAAAAGCACATATTTAAGAATTTATGGAAAAAAACACTGGATACCTCTCTATGCACTCCTGGGTCGCTACCTTCCATACCACTATACTCCCATCCACACTTCCAGCTGCCAGGTATTGCCCACAAGGAGACCAGACCACAACGTTGAAGGGCTGCAGAGAAAGAAAAATTAGAGAGTATTAATGATAAATCATAGACAGCACATAAAATAGGTATGTTGTAGAAAAAAATATATATATATAAAAAAAAATATTCAGCAAACCAYATCTAGTTACTTGTACTAGAGCTTTAGTCAGCCTCCTAGAAGAATCACTTTAAAACCAGCACAATTTCTTTAGAATATCCATTTTTCTGTTACTAAAAGTTACAAGAGGTCCAAAAAAACTTGATTCTCTATGCACAGACAGAAATGGAGTACATTTTGTAAACTCATCACTAAAGATTGTTGCTTTTTTACATAATTAATACAGATTCACAAAGTAAATCAAAGGTAGTGCTCTGTATCTTGATAGCATCGCAGTTATAGTCCAGCTGTGAAGCCAGTGAGAAGCATTAACAGTGTCTATAAACAGATACCTAACAATATCACTAAGGAAGTGGTCCTCTTTCTCCCTAAAGGTTTCCAAGTATATCATATTGACAGCAGGAAGATCACACAGTTCATGCATTACAAAATAGCTAAATTTCAATTTAATGAAATAGTAGGCAAATGATATCTCCACTGTGTAAGGAAAAAATACTCCAAATGTTTTCCCCAATATGCTACATATTTAGAAGGAATTGTGAGAACAGATGTTCAGCTGCACTCAGTGATTCACTGGTAAACTTTACAGAACTGGCCTGTTAGTGTAAAGGAAGATGAAGAACCACTGTTATGTAAAGGACATGCTCAGCCCTCATCTAGCATCTCTTGCCTTTATAAACTGCCACAGTTCACAAGAGAAAGCATTGTATCAGAAATGAAAAATAAAAGTGACCTCAGCAGTCATGACCGAGGGACAGGTAAAGAAGAGACCTCCCCGCACCCATAAACACCATCCCAAAATATGTATTTCTAGCAGAGTAAGGTTTAAGTTACACAAGATCTAGTAAACAACTGGTTTATGGACTGACCTGTGTGACAAAAGCATCCAATAGATCAAATTGGTTATCCCAGGTTTCTCTTCTGTATAGCTTGATGGCTTTATCTACGGGAACTGCCAAGAACTGTTCAAAGAGAACAAGAATCAGACAATTTAGAAGGTATTTTTCAATCAAAACATTCAAAGAAATAGCAAACCTGTTCCATAAAACAGTTCCTTCGTTCTGTTTCAGTACTTAACAGATCTCTTAACGTCCTAGCAATACCAACTGAGAAAGTCATCTGGAATTAAGGGACTCTAAGGCTTTCCATATGCAACATACTGAAGCATGGCTGTTTTCATTTTAATCTTCATTTCTTTCTGGCAGAGAACCAAAGRTAATGACAGCTGCAACATAAGGTTAGACGTTCTTATTTATGAAACAGCTAGCAAACATGCATAAATAGTTTCTAATGTTCTGAGAATAAGGCTTATGTTCTCCTTTTCTCTCCCTCCCCACATCTCTTGGTCAGGTTACGTTTTTTCCTTACAAGTCTCATTTGAATAGGTGATTCCTTACGTTGACCATTTTATCTTTCACGAAACTATAAAAGTTACTGCTTGCTTAATTCTTAAGATTCATTCTTTTGTTTTCTTAAGACTTTTGAAATTCTGCTTTATATTTACACTGCTTATATCTTGAAATATATTAATATGAACAGCTAGCCTAAAAAAAAAATAATATCAAAAGAATATCTGTTCTTATGCAATACGCACATGAACTAGTTTGTATTAAAGGTGATAGTCTCTCTTCCACAGAAAARCTGTGCCTAATGCCAGGCATTTTGAAGACTGAATGTGTGCAAACAAACCTCACAAAGGCTAASTCAGGTAATTCAGGTACGGTTTGGGATGTAGCACTGGAAAAACTGCCTTTAGATTTAATTTAGTGGAACATCAATGAAGATGAATAGATTTTGCCAAAGCACTCTCCCAGGTCACAGACAAGAACAGAAGCCACAAAGTAATTTTTCCAAATCACCAAGTTTGCTCAATTCCCTGTCCTTAAATTCAAGGCATACCTTCATTTTAAACCTTTTCTGAAACATCTGCTCTCTCCTAGAATCATAGAATGC